TTCCTCTGTTAGCCAGCTTTCTAGGTATTGCACCTTGAAACAGAGTCCCTGGTGGCACACAGAAGGTCTGTGTGCAGGCGGGAGCTCTCCTGTTAGCTGAGCAGGCTGCACTGTAAGTCTCCCGTCGCCTGGTAATAGGAGGTAAGGCTTAAGGCTGTAGGTTTATACAGCATGTGCTGAGGAGTTGAGATTATAGGGTTTGAGCACTCTTCATTGCTGCTGCCATCACAAATGAAAAGAGCTTCAGAAGACACTACAGTCAAGAAAGGGGAATATTTGGAATCTAAGTTTCCAGTCCTTACTCTGACATAAACCAATTCTATGACCATGAGCAAGATCCCTTCCAGCTCTGAGGTGCTATATTTCTGGATTTCAGTACCCTTTAATGATCTGACTGTTGAAGCATTTTTATGACATACTTGATCTCTTTCCACATATAGGTTGATGAGACATAACATGAAATTTAGATGTGAGTGCTTTGAAATCACTGGACTCTTTGGGTGCTAAACCTCACGTGTTAGAAAGCCACATATCTGTAGCACAAGTCCAGCTTTTTGCTATTCTCTTAGCAGGGCATACTTTTTACAAGGAAGCTAGATGGTTTCTGTTATTCTCTGAATTTAGAGAGATAGGGCAGCCTACTAAAGAGGCAGTAGTTACCCCCAGAAATGGAATTTGCTGAAGAAAAATCTTCACATTCTCTCAGGAAAGGCTGGAAAGCTGAGGCTGGTGTAGAGAGCACTGAGTTAGTCATCAGGAACTTGGGAGCTGTCCCAGGCTCTGCCACTGACTTCAATATGTCCTTTCCAGAGCTCCCCACCCCCACCCCCAGTGTCCTGGATGGCAATTTACACCAGGGATGACAAAAGGCTTTCCACTACAGTGCCAGCTCAAGTCAGCTTTGTTCCTGTAATTAATTTTTTTTTAAAGTATTGGTTTGAAAACTTCACAGAAAGGCGAACCACTTGAGAACTGCCCTTTCTAAGGCTAAAGCTCTCCATAACTAAAATCTTTAGAGTAAATATTATTGAGGGGAAAATCAGTTGTTGTAACACCCCCACTGGAGATTTCACAATTTGGCAAATTATTTTGCTTGTGTGTATTCTCCCGTAAACATGTAATTGGTTAGTAAATCTATTAGCATAAAATCCAAGCCTTACAAGGTACATTTCCCCTTAAAGCAAAAGGAGAATCCGTGCTAGGCAGTTTAATTTAATGCTTCACTGCAAGGTTAATGGCTTTATTACAGATCACAGCTGAGCTTGTTTCTGCTTTTGGAGGTGGAAGATTTGGGTGCGGGCTGGAAAGATGGAGAGCATTTGTTATGTTGTTCTAGTTTAGTCTATGTGGTGGGACCAAATGAACAACAATGTCTTCTGCTTCACCTCAAAATGGATTGCTCAGATGTGATCATTTAAGGCTAAATGGGCAATTGACCGACTTTTTTTATGATGACATTGGTTAACGAAATCTAATAAGTTTCAGCTGTGCATTTTAACAGTAAGGCATATATGTGTTTACACTGTGTGTTCATCTCCCACAATTAGATTTCTTTCTGTCGCCACTTATTTGACCACTTTTACCCCATTTACCTTCCCTCTTCCCCTCCCCTCAGGTAACCATTAGTCTACTGTCCATGTCCATGAGTCTCTGTTTGTTGGTCCTGTTCATTTGTTGCTTTTAGGTTTATATCCCACATTTAAGTGATATCATGTGACTTTCAACTTTTTCTGTCTGGCTTATTTCACTTAGTATGATTATTTTAAGGTCCATCCATGTCGTCTCAAATGGCAGTATTTTCTTTCTTCTCATAGCTAAGTAATATTCCATTGTATATATGTACCACAGCTTCTTTATTCAGTCATCTATTATAGGACACTTCAGTTGCTTCCATATCCTGGCCTCTGTGAATAATGCTGCTATGACATTGGTGCCCAAATATCTTTTCGGATATGGGTTTTCAAGTCTTTGGGATAAATACCCAGTAGAGGGATTGCTGCATCATTTGGTAGATCAATTCTTAGTTTTTTGAGGAACCTCTATACTGTTTTCCATAGTAGCTGTACCAATTTGCAGTCCCACCAGCAGTGTATGAGGGTTCCTTTTTCTCCGCATCCTCTCCAGCATTTGTTATTACTTGTCCTGTTGATTATAGCTATTCTAACAGGTGTGAGATGGTATCTCATTGTGGTTTTGATTTGCATTTATTTCCCTAATCACTAGCAACCTTGAGAATCTTTTCATACATTTGTTGGCCATTTGTCCTCTAGGTAGAAGTGTCTGTTCATGACTGACTTTTAAAGAAAGAATTCAGATGGCTTTTTTTTTTTAAAAAAAGAGGATTTATAATGCTTATAAATTTCCAGTTTTATATAAGTTTTTACCTATAGGCAGTGAGATATTTTTCATTGTCTGGAATATGTTAACTTTCTTTAATTTCCAAAGTTATCAGAAACATAATAGTAATGTTTCATCCTCGACTAAGTTGAAATAGTATTAGATTTGTTTCTGTACAATTCTACACGTAAATCTCTCCAAAAAATTCTAGTTGAGTGTTCTCTGAAGTTGGGAGACTTGCATTCGTAGCACAGGAAATAATTTTAAATGGTGGATAGAGAAATATTTCTTTTTAACAGTTACATTTTTAGTTTACTGTTTAAAAAAACTTATAACTGTCACATCAAACCCATGATTTTATAAATATTGCTTAGGATAAGGACAATGTAAGCTTTTTAATGTGAAATACTGAGGAAGACTATCACAGATGGTGTGCAGATGTTTGGTTTTAAGGTAGCATGCAAATGGCTGGCTGCAGGTTAGGTAGTCCAGTTCTTGGAAATATGGTCTTTCAATAATTTAAATTAGACAAGTGAAAAAATGCAGAGAACCCAGCACTCTTCCAGAATTCTTCCCTTTTAACCTGAAAAAGGTTGCAGAGCTGGAACATCTCCAGGAAGTTCTTTGTAAAAAGACAGCCCATCCTTAAGGATACACACACGAGCAACAAAGGAAATAGGAAAATTACTGAGAGAGGAAAGCTGATTAGACCTCAGCCAAGAGAAGGCAAGCATATGAAGGGCAGATCACCTCACCGCACGAGTAGGAAAATCATTAACCTCAGTAGTGCCACTCTGGAGAACAGTCCTAAAGGACGCTGACCTACCAGACAGATCTCGGCTGTTTGCAACAGGATGTGGCTGGGGTATCTTCAGGGTTATTAAAAGTAACTGATAGCAATGTGTACCTTCAGAGCCTGGGAGATAGAGACCATGTCAGCTTGTAAGTCTCGTATGTCACCAGCCGGCTTCGGAGAAATAATAGATGACGTTAGTAAATCCAAAATGTCAAGTCTGCCCTTGATCTCCTGTCACTCTTCAGGGTTGCACCCCTGGGCTCCAGTTTTTACCTGATAGTCATCAGGGCCTACTTCCAGCAAACTAGAATCAGCCAGCAGAGAAGGGAGGATCAAAAGGGACAAATGGAGGTGGTTTATTACAAGCCATAGGTCCCAGATAACAGACGAGTGAAGAGAACTTTGGTGTGGAGGTCTCTGAATGGGTAGCCTGGGAAGAAGAAGAAATAAAACAGGGAGGCCAAGAGACTAGGCTCACAGACAGTCAAAGGGTTTGTTGAACTCTTGCCAGTACCTATGTGCGCTGCTCTCCCCTAAGTACCCACCAAGTTCTTGAACTCCAGCGACTTGAGTGCTTCAAAGCTTAAAGCTCGGCTCTGGGAAAGTTTCCACTCCCGAGTCCCTTTCTTTGTGCCTCCGAGGCTGTGCTTAGGGCCCTTTCTGTCCTTGCGCTCGAGCTTTAGCATGCAGTGAGCACAAGCAGGTAGATGCTCCGCCCAAAGGCATCTGTGGGTTATGGAAATGTCACTGAAAGCACAAGGAGGACAGAAGTCAGGCTCATTTCGCACATTAGATCGGGAGGACTTTGGAATTACTTAGTAACTTTCTTCTAACCCATTAGCACGCTTACTGAACTCGAATGGCTTTTATTAATTTAGGTAGTAATAAAAATAGTAAAAAGAAAAACTAATGCCATGTGGTAAAACGTCAGACTGAGACTTGAACAGAATGAAAATTGCCCTCCAACACCATGCCAAGAAACCAAGCGGGAAGGAGAAATCGTTAGTCCTTCTTTTTACAAGGTTTTCTTGCCCTCCAAACTCTGAATGTTTTAGATATTGAGGTTGCTCTTTCAATAGGATTCAGAGTCCCCACACAGACTCTTTACTGTCTGTATTTGGGGCCCTGGCCTTGGTGCTCAGAGCAGTCCCAGTTTCAGCTCGAAATGGGAGTCCCATGGTGTGAGGATGTAACTATGCAACCTGGTATTTGACCAGCCTGCCAAACCTAGCCCGCCTTCCTTGCCCGGACTGTCACAAGACCTCCAAGAGCCCAGGGCACTGCTTGGCTTTGTGATTTCTGTGGAACAAGGTGGCCTTCTGGCATCAAGCACTGCATTCACAGTAGAGAGAGAAGTTAAATCCAGGCCAGATGTCGCTAGCCAGCAGATGGGACTGGTGGGAGCCCTTAGCAGATGGTAGGTCCCCAACCCAGTTATTTCTTAGGCAGAGCCCCTGCCGGGATACGCAGACTAGAAGCAACACAGGTGGGGATGACTTCTCCCTTTGCCTGCCTTCCAAGCCTATGGTAGGGGGAACAATGCCCCTCTCCACA